CGTCAACGTCAGCGTTTCTCGTATCGTGTAGCGTCACGTTTGCGACGTCACGTTTTCAATTACATCTATTTATCAAGGTGCTGACGTCAGAAGGAAGAGTTGGTGGGTGGAAATTGTGGGGGTGGATAGTCAATAACAGTTTTCCTTGTCATGGTTCCCGTAGGTAGCGGCCTAATGGAATTAATGAAGCGACGCCGACATCGAGATTCAATCGTGTCGTACAATAATTGGATTACAGTCTGACACAGTTTTCTCTTTCTGTCAACTGTTTGATGGCTTTTTTTAAGTAATTAATTTTGTATTGTTTTGTAGGTACGTATTTTTTAAACTTTGTTGGTAAAAAAAGTTGGTGTTTGATTTTAATTTAAATAGCGCTAACGTCTCGTAAGGATTTGTTTGGTAAGTGGTTTATAATATCAGTCTGCTATTTTTCTTAATGGATGTTTTACCTCCATTATTGTGCATTGGAGAGTACATTTCTTAAGGATTTAATGAAATAACAGAATCTTATTAATATTATAAATGTGAAATTTTAGATGGATGGATGGATGTTTGTTTGAAGGTATCTTTAGAAAGACTGCATGGATCACGCTAGAATTCGGCTCACTTATATGACATAGTCTGGAAGAACACAAAAGTTACTAATTGAGTTTTTTTTAATTCGATGCGGACAGAGACGCGGGCTTCCGTTAGTTTGGCATAAGCTCCGAGGCTGCTGCCGTTTGAGTACTGTATGAATATTTGAGCGCCAATTTAGCTCTTACGTGATTTCGGCTATGCTAATACTTTTGCTTCTCTATGATATATTTTACACCAAACAATTTTTTCTATACAATCCACGCTGCATGGATTTAGAAATATTTCTTAATCCACGCTGCATGGATTTAGAAATATTTCTTACGTAGGCCTTCCTGTGTTGTATACGTGAATCGTTTAACATATTGTGTTCTATTTAATCTGTATTTGTGTATTAAAAAAACATTTCAACGTTGCCAATAACATGCCAAGTTAATTTACTGCTATAATTTTCAAGAAATTAATATCTTACTTATATTACAAATTGGAATGTTTAGATGGATGGATGGATGGCTCGACTGTTTTTTAAATAATTTGGCACACGTGTAGAACATAGCCTGGAAGAACCCATCGGCTAGTAATTGAGTTTTTTTTATAATCCTGCGCGGAAGGAGTCGCTGGCGAAAGCTAACTTTAGATAAGTTTAGTCATTATGATTCTACCAATAATTTTGGTAGAAATTACAAATGTTTACGAGCTTATCAGATGAGACATTTGTTCGTTTGATGTAGTTGAAAGAAGCACACCGATTTGTGTAAACATTGACCAACACAATTTGATACTTGTACTTGATTCTTGCAACAAAGATAGGTGTTTCATCATATAACATGTGGTGTATTGCCAACCTACAAACCCCAGTGTGAGTCATTGGTGGCGTGACTGCGTTGTGCCAAAATTGGCATTACTAAAGTGCAAAACAAAGTACCGTCCGCAATAACTTTGTCTTGTTTCCATCGACCTCAACTTGATAAAGATCATTTGTACGATGCATTGACCCACATATTGCAGTTTCGAACGGTTGGACGACCGGAGTTTTTAAATTATAGCATTTATTAAGCAATCATACCAACATTTTCATCAACTGCTTAAAGCTCGAAATTTCTAAATATTTCCTATAAAACTCAGATAACTAAAGACATATCTAGATAAACGAGAAAAATATCGACGTCCCTTGGACTCAGGTTCGACTGTATCTTACTATTATTATAAATGCGAATGTTTGGATCGATGTTTTTGAAAGATATCTTCAGAACGTTTCAACGGATCTCGATGAAATTTGGCATGGATGTAGAACATAGTCTGAAAGAATACTTAGGCTATTATTTTTAAATTTCGCGCAGCCGGAGTCGCGGTCAACAGCTAATCCATAAATTTAACAATATCTCATCACTTTATCACAAAATATTTGTGAAATAACTGGAAAAGTGAAATGTCTTAATGGCAGAACATTATAATTTTTCGTTCCTCTGTTTACTTATCGGCTTTGGACCAAGATATATACAGATGTAATTAGCAAGTTAATATGTATGTAGTTGTAGTGGTGCTTCCAGGTTTTCTATTTAATATGTAACTCAGTATCCGAGGGGCTAGACAGTGTGTCTGGCTAGGTTTGAATTGTGACATTTGGCATTGTTCCACGGCTCATCATTTTGCATTGACATACGAAATTCAAATTATATTTCTTCATACGTTCAGGTCAAGAATGAATCTATATTTGTTGTTAAATCTTATTAATATTATAAATGCGAATGTTAAGATGGATGGATGTTTGTCTGCCTGATTTCGCGCGAAGTTTTTTGCGCGGTCCTAACCAACGGTTTCGTGAGCAACAGCTAGTTAATGTATAAATGTTATAAAAACGCTTCTTTTGAGTTGGCACAAGGCAAAAGTTTGTTTCCGAAGAGTCGAGTATAACGCTGCGCTCTTTACGTTTCTTTACTTTCAATACTTTAGGAGTCAATTAATTGAAATAAATCGCATAAATATACAATTGGAAAAATGACATTTTCTTATTTTGATTATAAAAAAAAAACTTCTAAAACACAAGGTTCTTTATAATGAATAATGATGAAACTATTTTATGTTATTTTTCGCATAATCGTAAACTTAACATCATACAATGCGTATAGCATTTTTAATATTTATAAAATTTTATAACACAAGTAATTCAACATTTGAAAACCTTACCTTCAGCTGTATAAGATCAGATAGTTAAACAGCCTTGATATTAGTGATTCAGTATTCAGTCGACTGTAACACGACAATTCTTTATTGATATCACAAATGTAATTACGTTACGACGTTTGAATTTTTCTCGTCTATTACTTGGAAACGTACCTTAAATTTAATTGACTACAAAGTCTAAAACATGATTCCACGACCGAGAAACACATTGTAATTTCTCCCATTCTCGTAAAAACAGAGATAAGAGTATCCTCTTGATTTAGGTGTTTGGACAGTGGAAACACACTTTAAAGAATTTCTACCTTACCATTAGACTAGAATTTAATCTTACTATCTTACTAATACTAAAAATGCAAATGTTTAGATGGATGGATGTTTGTTTGAAGGTATCTCTAGAACGGCGGAACGGATCTCGATGAAATTTGTGCATACATTTAGAACTTAGTCTAGAAGAAGTTATCTCAAAGTTAACCGTGAACCAATGAGATGACGATAAAACGGGAGGGCAATTGTCATCAGCGTGCTTCAATCCACTGATGCTCATATCTTCCAGAGTATGCGATCCTCTGCTGTCGTCCAGCGATATGTATCGCAAGCCACAAGGCCCCCAAAGAATATTTTTTTTATTATAGGCATTAAAGTAACAAAGATATGAATGTTTAACGTTGGAATAGTGTTTATGATATTATGTCAGCCGTGGCCGTCATAATTTCGTGGTCATTAGGTTTGGAGATAAGGCGGTCGGTGTTGGCGAGGCCTCGGTATCGTGATAGGTTTTATCACAACGACCCGGTCAATAAACGCACACTTGTATATTTATACATCGGCTTGTGGCCAACGTACAGATATCAATGTAACTTATGTCATAGATTACAACAATAATTGCAACGACTTTTTGTTGAATGGCGAAACTGAAATTTTAGCTGATTTTTGAAGCTTTATTTAGATTGTTTAAAGTTAATTTTACGCAACCTAACTGTACGAATATTTTAATGAACTTAATTAGGTTCTTAGAAACAATACTTGTTGAATAACATATTACTAGAATAACGGTGCTTTAAGGGATTGACGAGGTTATGAATTTTTTGATAAAGAAAACGTTTTTATTTATTACTAGATGTCGCTCGCGATTTTGTCGTCCTGGAATTAAAATAAAAACTTAATAAGTAGCCTATGTGTTCTTCCAGACTATGTTCTATGTGTGCCAAATTTCATTAAATCCGTTGAGCCGTTCAGGAGATACCTTCAAACAAACATCCAGCCATCCATCTAAACGTTCGCGTTTTTAATATTAGTAAGATTTTTGATGTCGATATTTTATGTTGTGATGGCAAGAACCTTTGTATTGTTTCAATCTTATTAAGTGTTCAAATATTCACCACATGGTTGCTTTTGCCATAATTCTCTGAGGTGTCCGAATTCTTCTAACCTCCAGCTTGTCTCGTTTTTGAGTATGTAATTTGTACACTACGTCAACTATTATGTGTTTTGTGCCGTTGCAATACTGCCTGTAACACTTTGGGGAAGAATATGAATCGAATGAAATCTTATTCGTCAAAATCGATTCACTCGTTTACGCTTCAGGTGGTTACAATGGAACTTACAAATCTACAGACCTAAAACATTTTACCCTCCAAGCGGTCGGTTAAAAGTGCTTTGTTATGCTTTACGTTGCGTAAAAACTTTTGGGATCGATGTGTTTGGAGCACGTGCTTTACGACAACGCAAGTGTACGAGCACATGTCGGAACACGTGCTCTCGGATAATGTTTCTAATGTACAACACGTTTGCAACACGAGCAAATTAAATGAACGTCGCGGTGTACTGTCTGATGAATTACGTGAAGTTTGTAATTGTACTCATGCCAAATATTATCTGACCCAACGTCACTCTACTACAATAGTGTTTATTCATCGCAATGTCACTGTTCATGTTGACTTTCACTTTTCGGGATTACTTGAATAGAGTCCAAATGAAGACAACGTCTTAATGTGAATCATATATAGATGGTTTTCTTGTATTTGAACTATAAGATACAAGGTTCGATTCCAATCCATAAACGTCATTGTTCATTAAATCAATCCTGCACGGCATGACGTGAAACTCACTCGTTGGCAACGCGTTGACGACGGGTGAGCGAGATATATAAGGCGAGAGGAAAAACAATATGTCCGACTCGCTTGTCACGTTATTTTTTGATATAAGCATAATTATAAAATGTGAATAACTTCTTGTTCCAGAACAACAAGCACGTGGGGGCGCTGGACGACGGACAGTTGCGCGCCTTGCTGGACGAGGCCATAGCGTACAAACGGCCCAAAGACCGCGAGGGCAAGAGCAGTCTATTCAAGGTGATATGTCCATTTGCCCCACAAATTTCTATTTTAGTCATGTCTCCAATAATAACTGTGGTCATCTTACAGTGTGTTTGATCCATATATTTGTTCGTTACAGGAGCTACTTGAGGAGGTGGAGCAGGACGAGCAGGCTTGCGAGGCGGCGGCGCGCAGTGTGACAGGGCGGCGAGGCGCTCGTGGCAGCGGGGCAAGTGGGGGCGGTGGTGGCGGGGGCGGGTCGCACGGGCGGCGCGCGCTGCCGCACTCCAACTCGCTGCAGGACCTGATGGCGGCCGCTCTCGCCGCAGAGCAGCCGCGCCAGCGTGCGCATGCGCACCCCCCGCCCGCCTCGGTATCTGCGCGCGCGCACCACGGTGGCAGCCTGCCCTCCGGCGTTGATACTTGTAAGCACGAAATATCTACCATATGAGTTACTTTTAGTGTTTAGATTTGTAAATTACATTTAAAGTTTTGTCGAAAGTTACTAAATACAAAACCGAGTATGCCTTATACTTTTAAAAACAGTGATGTGATGATTCCATACCAGTGCTATGTTTACAGCATTCATGCTGAGCGAGGAGCCGACTCGCGGCGGCTACCTGGCCACAGTAAGATGTGTCAACCCGCCGCCGCTCGCCGAGCGCCGCGTCTCCGCCAGTGACGCCAACGGCCCCGCCGAGCTCGAGCACCTTAACAGGTAAACTATAGACAACAGAGCATGGTATACCAGTAGACCATAGAGTAAAGACTTAGACCAAAGAGTACACAAATAAACCATAGATTAGCTGACAAATTGTCACATTGTGTTCAATTACATAGTAAATCTGAATTTAAAGTCATACTCATAGATGGTAAAATTCATGCCCTATTTGTGAATGTATATGACATGAAATGTTAATATCATCTAAATGTTATCATATACAGGGTGTCTCAAAAGGTTACGTACAGTCAGCGTCATATAGATCGTAACAGACAAGATATGCAAATATATAGGTACATCAAAAGTAATCAATTATATCGGTACAACAAAAGTCCTCAAAATAATAGATACATTCACCCTGCTCAAATACATCGGTACATACACAGCGTCAAATATATGAGTACATGCAAGATGCTCATAAATATCGTAGCAGCCACAGCGTCATAAGTAACGAAGCAGTCAAGGTGCGCAAAAATATCGGTACATTTGACAAAATTGAACTCTATCTCTATATACTTGTGATACAATTTGGAATAAACTACTTCTGTTACATTCATTTGACACTTTGCATCAAACCATTTTTCAAAATTTACTAAAAGTGTTCGACGCGGATGACAGATATTAGGTAGATAAAACCAACATCAAATTAAGTTTGTCATCATATATGCTAGTTTGGTCTCGTGGCCTTACCGTTCGCCGCCGTTGGTGCGTAAGTTCGGCGGTTCAAATCCCAAGCAACTATTTTTTTTTGATATTTAAACTTTTTAATTTTAATATCGAAGCACATTTAATTAAACTCTATCGCCGTAGTTATTAGGTACTTTTTGATATTGCCTTGGACTAATGAGTTTGACCGTTAAAGTACTTTTCTATTTCAAAAAAAAATGAAGGAGATAAAGCGATGCTATTGACATGTAATTTGTTTATTACTCATGTTTGTTAAACTTGTACCGGTAAAAATAACACTTTTACTTTTACCTTTACTGATACTGATTATATTTAAGAAACAAAGAAAAAAAACTGAATGTCAATATCCAAACTACATCAAATTTTTGGTAGATTGCAATAAACATTCCAGTGTGCGTGGGCGCGCACACATATGTAGATAACACTTGTACGTATAGTTTCCGCGCGTACCATTCTTAAAACCCGCAAAGACAATCCACGCTCCGCCCACTCACTTCACCCGCGATGGTCTGACCTAATTGTTGTTAACTTTATTTAGATTTCTTTCTACCCGACAGCGAAAATTATAAAAAAAAATTGTCGAGCAAAATTTTACATTACCAAATTTTTACTGGTTATGAAAAAATAACCCCGTGATTGATAAAATGAAAAAAAAAAGTAGCCTGAGATTCGAACCGGTAAACTTACATATTACGGCAAACATACTAGAATACTGCGCCAAACTAGTATATATTGTGACAAGGCAAAATTTGATATTAGTTATTACGTATCTGTCATATTCGGCGTGACAAACTTTTATAATATATTTAAGCGTTATGACAGGAGAACAAAAATATTGGGTTGCCCAGTAAGTTCGTGCCGCTTTATAAGGAAAATTGAAACCCTGTTCTCTTAAATTTTTGGAAATGTTTTTAAATTATATTGGTACGACTCTATACCTAAAACTTCTTTTATTTTTGGCTAAAATTTAAAAAAATTGTTTTTATCTCAACCAATGAAATGAAATTATTCACAATATAGAAATTTTTGTGACGTTTGATAATGGTGGAAATCCGAAAATGAATCCACTTCAGCTACAGTCTATTGTAAACTTTATATCGAAAATCAGAACGAACTTTCCGGACAACCCATAATGTTAATACAAAGTGTCAAATGAATGTAACAGAAGTAGTTTATTCCAAATTGTATCACAAGTATATAGAGATAGAGTTCAATTTTGTCAAATGTACCGATATTTTTGCGCACCTTGACTGCTTCGTTACTTATGACGATATTTATGAGCATCTTGCATGTACTCATATATTTGACGCTGTGTATGTACCGATGTATTTGAGCAGGGTGAATGTATCTATTATTTTGAGGACTTTTGTTGTACCGATATAATTGATTACTTTTGATGTACCTATATATTTGCATATCTTGTCTGTGACGATCTATATGACGCTGACTGTACATAGGAATGGGGATGATAGGAGTGGTCACAAGGGTCATCAGAAAAATAAAATAAAAATTCCCTTCTGGGTGTTAAAAAAAATAAATGGCATTTTTTAAAAACTTAAAATTTTTACACCTTCTGTATTTTTTTTAACACCCAGAAGGGAATTTTTATTTTATTTTTCTGGTGACCCTTGTGACCTCCCTATCATCCCCCTTCCTATGAACGTAACCTTTTGGGACATCCTGTATATGTCATTCCACATGTCATCATTACTTTCGATTCAATCATTATCATGGAAATTATCATCAGCAAAGTAGTCGAATGCTAATTCAGTACAAAAACATATCACATGTGAGAGTTTATCATGATCATATTTTTATATCTAAATTGTCTAATTATTTTCTTATTATTATTTGAAATTATTCCACAAAAAAGGTAATATAGTTTTATAGTTATGTTTGTTAATAAATAGGTATACAGTGCAAGTGAACAGTGAACAAGTGTAGTGTTTCGCGATAGTCTTCACACCTGATAGTGTTTTTATTAAGCAGTTATGTGACGTTCAGTCGTAATTTGATAGTTTGGTCGCTATAACCGACGTCAATTCTTAATTTATCTTGCAAGCTAGACAGGAAGCAAAGTATTTTTTTTAATTAGATTTTTGGTCTTTGATAACATTGTCTATGGCATTATCGTCAGATTTTTACATATTTTCTGATAAAACTAACCTGAATGTAGCTCGTCGAAGCAGTTTAATTTAAAAAAAATATCTGCTTTAAATATTGTATGTATGAAAGTGATGACTAATCTAATTAAGATACAATATTCTTTCTTATTGTTTTTTAATTAAAATCAATTAATATTGATAAAAAAAAAACAATCTGGTCATCGAGTAATTTTTAAGTGTCTGGTAACATAAATTAATTCATAATAATAATTATTGTCTGGTGTTTAACCAATAATCATATATCAAACTAAATTTTCGTTAATATTTGATAAAAAAAATATCAAAACGTGTCGCTTCTCCGTAGACGGAGTAAGCCGATGTTCCCGGTTACGTACACTGCACGCGCGACACTCGAGATCGGCAGCGGCAGCGTGTGCTCCGGCCGCGCCGTCACCACCACCACGCCGTCCAACCAGGTGCGTACCCCGCCCCGCCCACCACTACATCCCGCCCCAAGTCACGCCCCACACCACGCCCCAGCAGACAACAGGACGCAGAGGCTCATGGACGCCCTCGCACCTAAACCACAGAGCCCCACAGCAACCAGTGCGCCCACTGAACACCTTCGCAGTCTCTCTACATCTCCGCACCGCGCTCTGGTGGACGCATTCGAACCTAAAACAAATTCTAACCCCGATGATAAGGAAGCGAAGATCAAAGAGTGTGAAACTATTCGTGATTTGCACCAATCTTCAAATATCGTACTCATGGAAGCATTTAAACCTAAGTCAAATAATGCAAGTAATAAGTCAACTGAAGTCGCTTCAACTCCATACCAAAAAGATGTTCTCATGGATAACCTCAAATCGAACACAAATATTGAACCCCCGGGAATGGAGGAGGAATGTAGTACATCTTATAACCGCAGTATGTCCCAATCATTACATGGAAGCTCATCGAATTCAAACGAATCTCTAAGAAAGAATCCTTTAGAAGTCGCAAATTCAGAAATGTGGATAAAAAACGTTAACAACTGGTACGATGGATTACATAGTTATTTTGGTCCAAATGATATTCTAATAAATCGGAATAATACACATCAAGATCAACGCTTAAATGAATGCAGTAACATTGATAATAATATACAAGTAAATTATAATTATGAAGAAAACCCTTCGAATCCATTTTTAGATCTCAATCAAGTTATGCAAAAGTCTAAAATGAAACGACAAGAAACGTACAGAGAAAATAAAGATGCAGTAATCAAACAATATACGAGAAAATCTCATCCATTTATCTCATGTTCAACTAAAAACAAAACAGATTTAACACAGAAATACACTGAAATGAAGAAAACTCTAGTAGTACCAACTCTAGCTAATCATAATAATCCAAGAAATTTTAGGAATACGACAATAGGTAATATTGAAGAAGAATATTATGAAAAAACGAACAAATCAATAAATAATGGCGATAAAGAAAATAATCAAGAGGAAAAGTTTAAAAAACATAATTTGAATTTAGAAGTAAATGATGATGAAGAAAAATCGCCAATTGCTTCCAAATCCGAAGATAAAAAAGATTACGAAATGAAAGACATGTCAAAACTATCTTTGATTACTTCTGAGAATAATACTGAAATTGAATTACTAGATTTTGCAAATCGTATAACAAATGAAACAAATTCATTTTCAAAATTCGTTGAAGAACAACGCAACTTTTTTAAGAAATTAGAATACAATAATAATACAATAACACCAAAATCGAATGATATCGAATCAAAAATAGAAGCTGTCAAAGATAAAGAAAATCAAAGATTACGTAGTGAAGAAGATAAAGATTGTAAAATTAAAAGTCATACAAAAACGGACAAGGTAATTTGGTTAATTGACAATAAATCAGAAATAAATTATCATCCAATGCTTTTAGACGATATAATATTAACTAAATCTAATAGTGATGGCCTATCTACTAACAATACAGCTTTAAAAGATGAGAAAAGTGAAAAAGATAGTACTGAAAAATTACAACTATCAATCACTAACACAGAACAGATAGCAAATGATAAAAAGGCAAAGAGAACAGCACTTACAATGCTACTACTCAAAAATCTGTTCGAAAAAGACCAGTCTATCTCTGGAATAGAATTGAATGTGAAAGAGGTAGGATTTCAGACATTTCGCACCTTTATTCCAATAACGTCACTAAACGAAGTTTTATGATAAATTGATTTTAAATTCATGTATTTATTAAAAACACATCAGATGTAGTTTGAATTTCGAATACATTGTGTTGGCTTACGGTTTGGTAGTGTAGATATACCATCGATCGACTAGAGGCAAAAGTCTATTGACATCTTTTGTGATAGTACTAGCTGTGGCCCGCGATGCCATCTGCGCGGGAAAAAACTTAATTAGTAGCCTATGTGTTCTTCCACACTATGCTCTACATCTATGGCAAATTTCAGCGACATCCGTGCCGTTCTGGAAATACGTAGTAACATCCAAACTTTAGCATTTATAATATTAGTATGACCAAAGACTGTAAAAAGTGAATAGAGGTTTGCCATAGACAATTTTTTTGTGGTTGCTATTTTATAAACGACGGACATTTCGTGACGGTATTGGAATAATGGTGCGTTAATTGAGATACGGCCATTGTCGAGTATGGTTAGCATTGTGTCTCTGCAGGTGGATGCGGCGATACCGTTCAGCTGCATCACAACCCCGGAGGTTGTGGCCAGCTGTAACACCACGCCCGCGCACCCCGCGCACCCCGCGCTACCCGCACTCGCAGTCGACCCCAAGGTGACCACCAACCCGACTATCTCTCTCACACTGTAGGGTTGTTGATGAACTATCGATATCGATATATCATGTATCGATATTTGCAACATCGATTTTTTCATATGTCGAATAATTTTCAATACGTCAAAAAATCTGTCGATATGTCAAAAACATTTTTTTTTCAATATATGGATAGATATATTTATTTTTATGTTTTCAAAAGACGATATTTCGTATATCAGTCAAGTTTTTTTCTAAAACTATAGGAAAGTTTAAGAAGTTAGTATTTAAAAAGAATATTAAAAAGTATAGGTTAATAATGGTATCGATATTTCATCAACAGTCCTAAGTAAGGTGTGCGCGCTGTGCTTATAACCATTTGCATACTTTCAAACGCTTTTTAACATTTATTTATACTAATTCTGTAGTGGGTCTTTGATAACCATGCAGTGAATGTAACCGGAAAAATGTACTATGCTTTAACTTTATACGTAACATGTCATACTAAGGCGTTTTATAATATCAAACAGAAAGGTGTAACGTAACATGTTACTTAAAGAGGTAACACAAATACAGGATCTTCAATTTGCATCAAGAAACAAAAGACATTACAAAAATGTTTGAAAAATCATGAATTTCGCTTAAGTTCGTGAATATTGAAATATTACACTACTAGCTGTCGCCCGCGACTACGCTCGCGCGTTATTAAAAAAAAGATAGCCGATTCTCAGAGCTACTAAATATGCATATATAATTTTATAAAAATCAATCAAGCCGTTTCTGAGGATTATGGTAACTAACATTGTGATAGGATATATATAAAAGAAAGTCTTATATAGAAAGGATATATAGAAAAGAAATATAATAAATGCGAATGTTCAGATGGATGTGGTGTGGATAGATGGATGGACGGGCTACACTAATTAAGTTTTTTATATATGCTCGCGGACGGAGTCGCGGATGACAGCTAGTTTTATATATAAGATTATAAACATTAAAATAACTATACTAATTGTTAAAAGAGGTCTTACTTAAGCTGTTTGACTACATGAGACAACAATTAAGTACATACAATTAATATATAAGGAAAACATAACAATATTTTGGAGTCGTTCTGGGGGATTAGACAAAGTGCATTCGCTTCGAAGCGATTCCATAACGAATTTCAAAAATGTATTGAAATTGACACGCGACAATCACACGACTATAGAGCGTCGGTGGCTCAGTGGTCAAGCACTTGACTTGCAATCTGCAGGTCCTGGGTTCGAATCCCGCAATGTACCAATGTGTTTTTCGATTTCCGATTAACATATGTACATTTATCCGACGTTCTTACGGTGAAGGAAAAAAAACATCGTGATGCAACTTGCACATATCTGAGAAGAAATTCAAAGATATGTGTGAAGTCAACCGACCCGCACTTGGCCAGCGTAGTTGATTATGGCCTAATCACCCTTAACTTAGGGTAGGCTCCGAGCCCCTCGGTGGGTACGTATAGTGAGCTGATGATGATGAATCACACGACTTATCGAAAGTTGTCAGTTGTATATTTTTGAAGTTCGCTATAGAATCGCTTCGGAGCGAATGCATTATGTCTAATCTCGCTGATGAGAAATATTGAGAAATGTTCTTCTTTAATCATGCGTACCATTTTGCATCTTGTCAATGAAAGCATGTCGGTGTTGCTAACTTGTGGTAGTTAAGTGGTGTCGGTTATAACTATCGTTTGTTTGTGTGACATAAAGTCAATCTGTGTGAGAATTTACAGGTTAGAATTAAAATTAGCGTGATAAGTGACATTATTTTGGTGACAACTTTGTCATATGACTAGTTATAGTAAAATTAAGGTTTGCATAATAACCGTACAGAGTCCAAGTTTTTTTTATAGCTTAGGAATATGTTCTTGGTAAGTCATGACCAGTGGCTTATAATCTTACAATAGCGTACATGATTATACCGAACCCAAAGCTGCAGAATGTTTAGTGAATTATGTGGATAGCCAAATTGTATGGAATAGGTGTGCCAGGCCCGTGCCTAATCTAACTCAAGGGCATGAGTTGTTCGTAAAGCAGTTTCAGTTGGGTCTTACGTATATCATTGTACGTTGAGTCGACTCTAGTCACTGACCTCTATAGACAGAAAAGGTCGGGATGTTGCTTGGAAATGCCACTGTTTGTGTCGTTCCGAATAAAAAGCGCCTATTTATGTTATTGACAGTTAATTCTATCTGTACTTTTACTTTAAATTAAGATCAACGCTTAAAAGGCGCTTAAATAGGCACACAAAACCATGTCTTATAGCATGTCCACGTATTGAGGTCAGTGGATCTAGAGCATAGTTTATCTTGGGCTCTGTACGGTGTGCCGTGTGCCGTGCGCCGGGCGCTTGCAGCCGCTGCAGCTGGGCTCGTGCTACCGCGCGGTGTCGTGCCTCACTGGCGAGCCGCTCCCCGACGCGACCGTCAGCGCCGCGCCTACTGCGCCCACCGCGCCCACCGCACCGCCCGCCGCGCCCACACACGAACAGGTACACACAATTTGAACCTTGTGTATGTATGCAATATGGTATATATTGGTATAACTCGCAAACCGAGCTATTGGTGTCGGTGTGTGTGTCGGGTGCTGGAATATGTTACGGAGCTTTTTTAAACGACGTTAGATTATAAACTGGCAATAAAATATAAAAGAAAGTAAAAGTAACCCTTTCGCTGCTAGGAGGTGGCTATAGTCATCTAGCTTTATGTTTATCAAGTAACACTGACATGCTTTCATCAAAGTCCTCAAATGAAAATAGCGGCAAATGTTATAGAATTTTTTTTAATGATAATTGTGCGATGTTACTGTGTTTATGGGAAAATTAATGTTGTCTATGAAATGTTATGCTTATAGTTTTTATATGTTCAGAAAGTGTGCAAATGGTTATTAGTAAATAATGTTATTTGTAACTTTTCATATATACTCGTTGTGTATTTATTTAATATGTATTTATGTATATTGTAGTGTGCTTTGCTTCAAATACTATACTAAAAAAAAATGTCTAAAGTTCTATTTATTTTTTTACGATGTGAATTTTATTATAACAACATCGTTTCTAAATGTTTAATTTTAAAATTTTTTAATTTATTTGTTGTAAATTATCACGATCAGCCTCGCAGCGTGATATCTAGCAGTCTGAACGGGCTGCCGCTAACGAGGTCGGGCTTCGCCACCGGCGCCTCCGCCTCCGCCGACGAAAGTAAGGTGCGTTGTACTGATACATTTGTATAGCGGATTTACTTGCTTGTGTGCTAGTCACTAAAAATAATAAATACATAAAACGATTTCAGAAATCGCTAGACGAAAACGGCAACTCAGTCCAGGGTTTCAGCTCACCGCTGTCCGGATCTAGTCACAATAAGAAGCCGCGGAGGAAAAAGTCCTCCAAGAACGAAACCGTCATCAAGTCACAGGAGATCGACGGCTATCAGGGGAACAAGGATCTGAACGAAGTGCTGCGCTTTATCGAGTCCAACGCGGAGAGCGCCCGCTCACATAAGGTGCGCGCCAAGCACAAGGACGACGATGACAAGGGCAAGAAGCGCTCCACCGAGCGCCGAAAGGACAAGGAGAGCAAAGTAAAGCGCGCCTCGTCGCTCGAGGAGCTGTCGCGCACCACGCTCGCCGATCTCACCGACCACACAGACAAGCCCGCGCCGCGCCCCGAGCCCGCCAAGCCCAAGCCCGAGCGCCGCTCCTGGGGCGAGGACTTCGCAGACAACGCCGCCGCCGCCGCCGCCTCCGCCGCACTCGAGCTCACAGACTTCCAGACCGTCACCAAGAAGCGCAAACCGCGCCGCCGCACTGACGAGCCCGAGCCGCCGCGCCGCGCGCGCCCCCCCGCCCCGCCTTCCGACCGCAGCAACGACTCCAACGACGACATGGACTCCGTGCACTCGCTGCACTCGTTGCCCGCAGACGCGCCACCCGCGCGCCCCGCGCCCCCACACCCGCACGCCTCCTATGCCGACATCGCGCGCACGCGCCACAACATCCCCGACCTCATCGAGTCCTGCAACTTCTACGAGACCGAGGTGGGCGGCGAGCAGACGCGCACCGAGCCCGCGCCCGCCGCCGCCCCGCCCGCACCCGACGACTACCCCTCGCTGGAGGTGCTCGAGGCGCGCAAGAAACGCGACAAACCGCGCCCCGCCCGCAAGGAGCGCAACGAGGGCGACGCGCCCGCGCCAGACGTCGTGTCCGACCGCCGGCCCGCCGTCATCCTGCTGGACCGCGCGTCGCGTCCCCACGACATGGACGGCGTCACCTTCGGCTTCGACATCAACGAGCAGCTGGTGGGTGCGCGCCGGCCGCGCTGCGACCTGGTGCGCGACGCGCTCGAGGGCGCCGTGCCGGTGCCGGTGCGCGCCGGCCCGCTGCGCTACCTGCCGCCGCCGCCGCCCCCGCCCGCGCACCAACACACGCATCTGCTGCAGATCGTCGACTACGTAGGCGGAGGTCAGTCTTACAACGTAATTTCAAACATCAACTTGCAATTTTACTTCTAGATACTTCTAGTTGCTTCTTTGATCTTTGATCTATCAAATATCCATTGAAAACAGCTTTGGGATCAAACTCTGTTAGTAGAACTTTCTAGTACTGTATTGTTTTGTTTAAAATATAATCATATGTAATTGTATGTTGTTTGCAGCGTGGGAGGACGTGGTGCGGTGCGGCGGCGGCAAGGTGCGCTACTTCAGCGAGTAGCCCGCGCTTGCGCTGCGCAGTGAAAGTGTTCAGTGCTAGTGAACTCCGTACTGTCTATAACAGATATAAGATAAACGCTTACGGATGAGTGCGCGTCGGATATCGCCGCTTATATTTTTATTATAGTGAATAAATGAATCGATTCCGAACGGTAATGGTGACTTTGGTCAGGAAGTGTTCCTAGTGCGTGTTCAGAACATTTTGTGAACGATGCAGATGTTTCGACGTTCGTCGCGCGATGTGAATGTGATCGCAGTGTTAATGTTCTCTTTCTAAGTGAATTTCGAAGCTTCGAAGTGGATTGTCTCGCTCTAATACTCTGTGGAGTCCATGTTAGCGTTTTCGCTGTGATTAAAAAAAGTTTTGCGCTATGTATATAAAAGGACTAGAGCTTACGTGGGCATTTAACTATCACATTTGCACCTATATGTAAAGAAAAAAATGAAAAAAACAAGAGATTGCGATCCTACCTGCAATTGTTTTGTCTTGAGGACGCTTTATTTATTTGTTTGGTGTATGAAAAATGGCCTGGTACATAGCCCGTGTTGTATGGTAAATAAAACATGTATTTTGTCTGTGCATTTCCTTTTGAAGTTTTTTAAACTGCCGTTAGAAGCTAGCTTGTTTAATTGACATGACTGGATTGAATATGTTCTCTCTTTGATAGGTTGTTGAGACTGTGAATTTTCATTGCCAAAAGTTTAACAAAGATACATTATTGTCTTTGTTAAGTCTATGAAAAGGATGAAAATATGTTTTTGTTCAGATGTTTTGGCAATGGAAACTCAGAGATATGAAACAAGTCTATGTATCAGGTCAATGTACAAGTAGCCCATTGTGACAATAACATCCATTGGGTTGGTAACAATTTTGTTTCTGTTAATGTTTATAATGCTTGAGTTTTGTTATTTAATCACATATAATAGATTTCTTTCTCTAATCAGCTACTCACTTCTTAATTTGTTATGTAATTTTTAAGTTTTACTGCTGCAAATTGTATATAAGATATAAATAAGACCCCATGTTCTATACGACAGTGTTGTACTCTGTTAAACAAGTGTGATGGACTCTTACAACAAAATGTTATTTAAATTATGTTCAGTAAGAGTTTGGAGGGATTCCTAATGTTTTAACCATTTATCGTGGCCTATCTTACATCTTTGCCTTATTTATATCATCACATTTCAGCAAACACAATGCCAAGTAATAATCAAATTGAAAATGTTACTATAACATTATTTTTATACTTCTAAATGAGATTTGGTGTAATTTATAAACAATTAGATATCAATATTGGCAATTTTAGTTTGTTTGCAAAAATATTTGCGTACAACACCGTTTGCAAAAATACTTATCTCGAAATTTTGCCATTATTCAAGAACGAAGTTCAGAAGAGCTAAATAAGCTGTCAAGATTTATAAAATATATTGCATCAGTTCATTGACCTCTATATACTGGATAGTCTACAGGTCATGCTGTTTAGTGAAAATTTCATTTTCCCTGTTTTGACTCTAAAGTCAGGTAGTAGCTGGAAAAGCTGTCCAGCCGCTATAGAGGTCAATGCATCAGTCGCAATCTCAATGACCAAACTGAGATTTATTGTAATGTATAATATTTTTCAAATATCATGGTGGCTCAAGGTCAGCTGCGTCGTCCTCAACCCATGGTGGGTTGAGGACGACGCAGCCGACCTTAGCACCCCGCTACACTTAACATTGTGTTCTGCGATGCAACTAGTGCGACGTTCTGAGTGGCCATGATATTTGAAAAATTACACTCTTTAAGCTGCAGTATATATCAAATTATAAATGGTGCTTAAACTCAGACACATAATTGGTGTATTAAAAATAAAACAAATTTTTCTGCCTCGGTTAATGGGCATATCTATTTTCGAATGTTATATAAAAGGGAATATTATTGGCTTTAAGAAAAAAAACTTTGATGAATGTGAACCAATGTCTAAAATTATTCTATACTATTTACTATAAAATTTGGTTAATATTTTATTCGCTCTCTGATTTAAAAATTTTGATTGTCGTAAAGTCTTTGTACATTCAACAAAAAACCTATTTTAATTGTTTAAAATTTTGAATATGTTTATTTTCTCGTTTGGTCTTCCCGATTACTTCCTATGTTTATAAAAAAAACTGATGCAAGATTTATTTTTTTTATGAATTTTTTCTTCGGATAAAAAAAAAATCAAGCTACAAAAAGTTGTAAGATTTGTATATTCGCTTGTGAAATGAAGAATGCAGAGTTAAGAGAGAGTTATGGACATAAGTTAGTCCAAAGCTAGTCGAGAAACAAAAAAAAAACTAAAAACTTGTTCTATGAAAAAATTATAAAAACATTTCGATTTAAAGTCTAGGTGTATTTTTAATATAATTTTCTTATGACTGCTATGTTCGTATTGTTAAGATAAAAACCATGTTAATATTTGTCATAATATTGTGTGTGAACATTACGAAAGATATTCACCACGATTTATTACTTCTCTGAAGTTAGCTCTAATTGCACGCAATGCGAGAGTGAACGAGACAGATGCATATATTAGAGCCGCGAGTAAGACAGAGAAAGAAGATATTTAGTAGATACAGCCAACTTCAAGTATGTTGGTACTTGTGTTTGAAACAGTCTGAATGTAACTTCTTTGTCGAAGTGTGAATTTTACACTCAATTTTATTAGATCTTTTAAATGATATCCAAGCATTGGTCAGACTAAATCATGCCATTGTCTTAAACTCAATATATTTACATATTTATAAATATATATATAATTTTTGTTTTATTTTTACAATTTATTGGTGGATAGATACTTTCATTTCATATTTGTAAAGTTAAATATATTATTTTAACATATTACAGTGTTCATATACATCGGAATAAATCTAAATATCTTTCTAGCCGTTACAAAAATTCACATTTGTGTAAATATTATGTATATGAAAAAATTATATTTTTCAATATAAACGGTTTGTCATACATATACCACTATTTTTTTATTACCAATTAAAAGTATAAGTATTTGTTGAATCGGCAGATCATATTTTAGGGAAAACAAAGCAAATCAAAATCGAAAATGTATACTATAAAAAACCACAATATCAAAAAGGTAATGCTTTGTAAGAATAGTTTCCACAAATTAAATTTATAAAACTCCCAATGATATTTACCTACTCACTTCACCCTATTACAGTCTACATATTCAAAACAACATTGTTCATTTAAGGGTTAATAATATTTGAAATCATAGTATTTTGTTTGAAAAAGGAATGTATACATAATTTGACAATTTTTTTTTTTTAGTTTTTTATCCACTATCATTGTTGTCTAAAAAAATAAGACTACGTATTTATAATCTGTACTTACGTTATCTGTTTTTTTCTTGGTAATTAAAAAAATATTGGTGTATAGTAAGTTCGACTTGTACTGAACGGAAGCTCATATCAAAGGTATAGAAATATTATTTATGATTTCTTGTCGTTGTAATATATGTAAATAGATGTGCAGATGTAACGGGAATTTAAAGTTCATAGAGCATAATGAATAGTCCATATTAGGTGAAATGTTTAGATGTTGTGACGCATTTCCTAAAGACAATGTACTATATCATGCGTTTAAATGGACTGAATTACTTTCATCAATTAAGGAAATGGACAAATTATGTTATTTTGCATTAGATTTGAGTACATTAAAATTAGTCGATGTTTATGAATCTTGTTTACCACCATGACAGATTATAAAATGGGAACGGTTCACAACATGTTTGGTTAGAGCAAAGTATAGTTTCTGCCTGTACGTCTTGTGTTTTATTAAATTTTAAATCAATTTAAATAATTTTATATGCATACATTAACTTATGAATATATAAAAATTATATAAATGAACCATAGATTTATTACAAAGAAATAGATTGACAAAATTATACAGATAGAAATAAAAAGAACTTTGTTTTATAAGTTTATAACCTAAAAATAGCTAATGCACCTTTTTTGCCTGTTTGGCGGATTGGTAGGTGAAACATTGTCATAGATCTAAGATGATTTAGAACCATTTAGTTCCTTTTTTTTTAAGATAAAATATAAAAATACATCAAACATAAAATGATGGTGATTAACGAACATTTTCATTGTAACTTCCTATTGCTTAGTTGTATCGTGGGATCAGAATTTTCTATACTTTTAAAATGATGTATTCGTCAAAATGTGAATTGCACTATTTAACGTTCTTTTAGTCGATCTATTTATTATAGTAAATCTATGGACGAAATAGAGCTAAAATAAATGTAATTAATATTAATCGGTTCCTGGGAACTGCAATCCGAACGATCGATAGGGCCGATTGCACATATGTATGTAAATGTATAAATAAAGCTGAAATATGAGTTTGTACCTTCTGTCGCTTTATCTGACTAAATAAATGGCTATTGAAATTGGTACATCTCTATCCAAAGTTTATTCAGAAAATGAAACAATTGGTTTATATAATATTTATCCATATGGAGGATTATTTATCTGCTTTACGTCTAACTACGCGATACTTTTTTTTCATTCTATGCTTTTTTGATTTTGATGTTTCTAACTTATCTCTAATATTTGGCGATTATTAATATTGATGAAATAATAAAGTAAAATTACTATCTTTGTATTATTTCGTATAGTATTTTTTAAATATATTGACGGCTAACTTCACCCCGCATACCTTCACGCTCCGCCACACCTAAAATTGTGTTCTGCGCAGCGACTTATGTGGTGTTCCGAGCCGCCAAGATATTTGAAAATTACTATACACAACATAATAAAATCCTTTTATTCAAGTTTGCGGCAAAAGAGCATAGAGTGAAATATTAGTTGAGTTTTTAACTGTAAAAAAGATGTTTTTACAAATGTAACCAATCGCATTACAGTTATGTACTTTTTCACTGTTTCCGTTTTCTTAATAAAAATGTTGAAATTACAAGAAGTCGTTTGATTAACCTTATTTTGTACATACCGTGTTCTAAATGGATGTGAATAAAACAAATTTATCTCCGACGCATTTTATTCTCATGATCAACATTATACAGATGTTACGGCTCATATTCAGCCTCGTTCTATCAATAAAAATATTAACAAATTATCTTACATACACTTGAAAATGTACAATATATTATAGATCTTACAAAATACTTCAGACCTCTATAAGCTGATATCTAAAGTGCAGTCAGCATTTAAAGGCTCTTCATTTCATACGACAAAGACACAGCAAATGGCGTTTTTTTAACCACAAGTAACGTGGGTCTTTTAAAAGAAACATGTAGTTGAAACAAAATACTTTTCGGCAGTTTTGCAAAAGCATATTTAATTATATTAAGATTTTTTAATTTTTACATTAGTAGTACTCGATTAGAAAATTATCTTTTTTGTAACACAAAAACGGACCATTAGGATTGTCATTTGTGATCTTTAGGTTGGTTAAATTTCAAATTTAGGATTAAAAATATTAATCTAATATGGGTAGCTTATTGAGTTCGACCGTTTAATATATTTATCATAAACTGCCATAGGATAATTGCTATATATTTTTCTACGTTTTGGTCGCGTAACGTACGTAAGCATTTTACTTAGCATTGGATCATGTGATGTAAAAATTTCATATAAAAACAAAATTTATATTTTTAAATTAATTTATTAATATTGCGTTATATTAATATTTTTGCATACTAAATTGCATTATATTTACAATGTTATTCTAAGAGAAGCATTTTTTTAATAATTGTTACTTTTTATTCGTATTTTATTGTATTATGATTCCAATATTCGTTGTTATTAGATTGAATAGAAATTTGACGTTTTCATTTTTTTTAACTTGTTTTTATGAGTTAGGCCGAATTCAGCCACAAATATTTTTTTATTAAAAAAAAACAATAATTTCTTAAATTAATGTATAAATTTTTTTTATCTTCGTCACACATCACAAATTAATTAAAATAAATCTGTTTTACATATATCTGATTATAATCTCAGTTATTCATTTCTATTACGTGATTCTAGCGTAGTATTTGGATTGTAGCGTATTGTTAATACGACGTAAAGAAAAAACAATTTAGAAAAAATATAAAAATAAATAGCGAGATAAAATACATCACAAAAAATATCGTGGAATGAATACCAAAGGAAATATATATTTACATGATTTAACTGTATGTACACAAAACGATTGCAGACAAATTGACAAACAAAAACATTTACACACAAACTCGTATAAAAGAGCATTAAGGAAGTACTTATCTGTTTAATTAATAAAATTATAATATAAATTGACATCGGATTAAATATACATGTGACACGACCACGACGTCAACACGCGATACACAATACTTGTATGATTGTTTTTTTTTTAGACATTAGTTAGAATTCTTTGACGCGAATGGCGCGCTTTTCGTTACCAAGTGTCAGATTGATTAGTGAGGGGACATAAACGTTGATATTTTAATTAGGCTAGTGTTGTGCCAGTAAACCGGCAGTGTCGGATTTTCTTCCTAACAATATGTATTTTACTAAAACCGCCTATACACTATAACGGTTTTTAGTTGTACTGAAGACACATTTAGTTAAAATGAGGGAAAGTCGACGCCATCTTGACGACTCATAAGTTTTGCGCAAACTTAAGGCACTAT